TTACGGTCTCTTTAATTTCATCCCACAACCATTCAGAGCCAGGGTTTTTGAAACTGAGCTGCGGGGAGAACCTGTTCCGAATTGAGCCCTAAACCCTATACCCGAAACCCGGCTTTCAGTTTTCTGCAGGATTCGGATGCTTAAGATATATATATATATGTATAAATTGGATTTTGAGTTAGTTCAGAGCTTTCTAAACTGAACTTGGAACCCTAGCAAAAAACACAAACTTTAGCTGTTGATTAGGAACTCCAGTGCAAAAAAAAAGACTCCCAAGTATCCCTAAGTTTAGGGTTTAGGTACCATGGGCAGTACAGTACCCCCCCCCCCCCCCCCCCCCCCAAAAAAAAAAAAAAAAAACCTAAACCCTAAACCCTATATAAACCCTAAACCCTAAACCCTAAACCCTAAACTCTAAACCCCGCCCTTTTCCCCCGCCTCATTGAAGCGAACGCTGCAGGCCTGCGGCGGATTCTCGAAAGCCTTTCCCGTAGGCTCCGGGATCCTTGGGTGCGTCCAGGCTTAGGGGGGGCTTTGGGCTTGTGGTTTAGGCCTAAACCCTAAACCCTAAACCCTAAACCCTAAACCCTAAACCCTAAACCCTAAACCCTAAACCCTAACAACCCTAAACCCTAAACCCTAAACCCTATACCCTATACCGTAAACCCACGGCTTGGGTTCAGGGTTGAGTTTGGAAGGTCTCTTTTGCAGGAGTCTGAGAGGCCTAGTCCTCGGGCCACTGAGAGTGCGGAGTCTGCATGACGGTTTAGGGTTGAGGGTTTAGGGTTTAGGGTTCAGGGTTCAGGGTTTGGGGTTTGGAATTTGGGGTTTAGGGTCTATAGGGTCTATAGAGTATAGGGTTTAGGGTTTAGGCTTGCGATGTTGGGGTGCTGCACTTGGAGGTTCATGGTCACTTGTAACCCCAACTGGGGGTCTACTTATAGCCTACATAGGGGACTTAGGGGACTCAGGGGGCTTATAAGTACAGTTAGAATTAGTGTTATGAGCGCCCTGAACCTCAAAGTACAACGATGGCCGAAGGTTTCCTGGGTGGGTTGAGTTGTTTAGGTTAGGGCTCGGGTCTACGTACACTAGAGCCGTCCCGTTCTTGGAAACCCCAGGTCCGAAAACCCTCGGCCTTAACTACGCGGGTACAGTTTTCTAAGTTAAGGTCACTTCTTGGGCCCTACTAATATTTTGTACGGCACCCATATGATAAGGACCCCCGGACCCCAAAAGGACCCTAATTTGGAGAGCTTGCCACACACACACATCCGAGGCACAGTGGCGGCGCCGCTCCAGTGTTTGTTCCGCGGCCGCGGGTGGTGAACCAAACCTCGAGCTGGCATGTGGGCATCTGAAACCGAGATTTCCGGGTTCAGTCCCCGGATTAACCCCACACCCTAGACCCTAGACGCTAAGCCCTGGACCCTAGACCCCAGACCCTAAACCCTAAACCCTAAACCCTGAATTCGAAGCCCATGAACATGCTCGAAGGAACGCGGTTCTCCTCAAACGGGTCGACGCGAAAGTCGTGCCACTCGTTCACCCTATCGGGGAACGCCTGTCAGATGCAAAGACGTTGGGCTTCCAGGCAAGGGTTTAGGGTTTAGGGTTTAGGGTTTAGGGTTTAGGGTTTAGGGTTTAGGGTTTAGGGTTTAGGGTTTAGGGTTTAGGGTTTAGGGTTTAGGTTTTAGTGTTTAGGGTTTAGGGTTTAGGGTTTAGGGTTTAGGGTTTAGGGTTTAGGGTTTAGGGTTTAGGGTTTAGGGTTTAGGGTTTAGGGTTTAGGGTTTAGGGTTTAGGGTTTAGGGTTTAGGGTTTAGGGTTTAGGGTTTAGGTTCTGGGGGTCTCAGGTCCAGTGTAGGTGTTTGGGCTTTTTGGGTTTTTTGTGGTTTCGGGCGCAGGGGTTTCGGGTAGTTTAGGGGTGAAACGGCAGAGCACTATGTCAGCGCGCGTCATATCCAAGACAGCCCACTTACAACTTGCGGCTGTTTGTTCCTAGACCCTAAACCCTAAGCCCTAAACCCTAAACCTTAAACCCTAAGCCCTAAACCCTAAGCCCTAAGCCCTAAGCCCTAAACCCTAAACCCTAAACCTTTGCAACGAACACCAGAGGCATGGCAAGACACACCACGACCAAGGCAAGCCTACGCGCGCAAGTCGGTTTGCGAGAACGGCTTACCGGGGACAACTTTAGGGTTTGCCGGGTTTAGGGTTTAGGGATTAGGACTGCAGGGCTTAGGGTTTAGGGTTCGTAGGGCTTAGGGTTTGTAGGGTGTAGGGCTTAGGGTTTAGGGTTTAGGGTTTGTAAAAACCACAGCATGATCTGAAACCCTGCTTGCAGACGCATGGGCTCTGGCTTTGGGGGACGGCCCGGAGCGGGGCGAGGAATTGCAAGGAATCCGGTTGTAACTGAAAGCACCATGACAACTGAAAGCCCAGGTGCAAGGACTGGGTGCTGGAAAGGGTGTGCGCGTCCATCATTTCAGGGCACTTGCACCCCTCACACGCCCACCCACCCAGCCACCCACCAACTGATAGATACTAGTGCAAGTTGAAAAATATAGCGTTCCTGAACCCTAAACCCTACACCCTAAACCTTAAACCCTAAACCCTAAACTCCAAACCCAACTTCGAAAAAAACAAAAAGCCTGAATCCCGAATCCTCAGCGTCCCGCCTCACGGAATTTGAAGCTCTTGAACTGCTCGATGTACCGAGCCTGGCACATCGCCCTCATCGTCGTCTCTTAGGGCAGACATTGAGCCCTAGCAGTTTCTTGTAGGGTTCTTAAAGGAGGGGGCTCAAGGGGTGTATGTAACCCAACCTTCCCTAGTACAAGTTTCCCTAAGTTCCCTAGATACCTACCCCCCCTGAACCCCCCCTCAATTTAGAGCCCTATAAGTTCTAGGCATTCAGAATCCGGAGCTTACCTTCCTTGTTAAGCGCTCGAAACATGCTGCAGAAGCCTAAAGCCCATAAACCCTAAACGCGAAATCCGAAACCCAATACAGGAACGTATCGAATGTCCGAACCGGCCTTCCTAGTTTGCGTTTATGTCTCAAGGTGTGGGTTCAAAGCTCAAGGGTTTAAGGTTTATAGGGGGTTTACCTCCCAGACCCCCCCCCCCCCCCCAGTGGACCCGAATCCTCAACCCTAAATTGGAGTCTTGCATAAACCCTTACCCCCAAACCCCAAACCCTAAACCCCAAACCCCAATCCCTAAACCCTAAACCCTAAACCCTAACCCTAAACCCTAAACTCTAAACCCTAAACCCTAGCTTGGCCTTCTTCAAGGGACCAATGATGGGCCCGCAGAACACGAAGTCCTCGGCCAGAAGCTCGGGCACCGCGACCTCATCCTCACACGGGAGCTGGGAGGTCGACCGGGAGGTCCATGGGTGCGCAGACGTATCTTGGGAGTTTAGGGTCTAGGGTTTAGGGTTTAGGGTTTCGGGATTAGGGTTTAGGGTCCGGGTCGGATGGGGCCCTGGCCTGGTTCAGCGCCAAGTAGATCTTGGTCCGGCGTATCAACTCCTGCGGTTTTTAGGGGGGTTGAGGGCTTCGGGTTTAGGGTTTAGGGCTTAGGGTTTAGGGTTGAGGGCTTTGAGCGGTTTAGGGTTGGGGTTAGAGCTTCGGGTTGAGGCTTCAGGGTATTAGTTTTTGGTGTTTAGGATTTGGGGCTTTGTATAGGATTCAACTGAGAGGTTCAGGGGCTTATCGGGTCAGGGGCAAACAACTAGGGTTTAGGGCTTAGGGTCTAGGGTTTGGAGTTTAGCGTGGTGCTTTCGTTTTTCTGATTTGCGAACAATTAGGGTTTACGGTTTAGGGTTTAGGGTTTAGGGCCTTCCGTTCCCCGGGAGTAGGCTCCTCCTCGGAGAGGGGGAACGTGCGCTCCTTGCGGAGCTTCGCCTCGTCAGTGACCTGGCTTCTCGTGCTTATAAGGCGTTTGTAGGGCATAGGGTTTAGGGTTTAGGGTTTAGGGCTTCGGGTTTAGGGTTTAGGGTTCAGGGTTGAGGGCTGATTGGGGTCTAGGGACCTAGGGTTTGGGGTTTAGGGTTTATAGGATTTAGGGTCTTCACTAAAACTTAGAACGCGTTGAACCCCCAGAGGGGTTGGGGGTTTAGGTGTTGGGAGATTAGGGTCCCTGAGCCCTTAAATCCCCAAGCCGCCGTCACCAGTAAACTCGCAAGCCCTATACACCCTGAAACAGCAAACCCTCGAAAACCCTTAACCCATCCATGCCCGAAACCCGCCTTCCCAACAGCCCTAACTACCCTGTAGCAGTATAGCCGCAAAACCCTAACACCAAAACCAGTAAATCGTACACCCTAAACCCCAAACCCCAAACCCCAAACCCTAACACCTAACCAGTAAATCGTGAACCCTAAACCCTGAACCCTGAATAAGCAAGCGCTGGCGGCCCTATGACCCCATGGCCTGCATCCTAACCTAACGCCCTAATATTAAACCCCCCCTACCCCTAGATATTCTACCCCCCCCCCATTATAGTAATATTATATTATAATAAACCCTAAACCCTAAACCCTAAACCCTCAACCCTAAACCCTGAACCCTAAGCCCTAACCCTAAACCCTAAACCTTAAACCCTAAACCCTAAAGGGGTAGGAGGGAGGTTACATTTAGGGGGAGGGGGTTACCCCTAAAGCCTCATCTTCGCCCTAAGCCGTAAACCCTAAACCCAACCCTAAACCCTAAACCCCAAGCTCTTGGCCCTAAATGCTAAACCCTAAACCCTAACCCCTAAACCCTAAACCCTAAACCCTAAACCCTAAACCCTCAACCCTAAACCCTAAACCCTAAACCCTAAACCCTAAACCCTAAACCCTACCACCAACCCCATGGCCTGGCTGCTTAGGAAGCGCTCCAGTAAGGCTTGCTGCTCGGGGTTCAGATCGGCCTCTGGGATTCTAGGGGGGATTGTTTCTTGTTAAGGGATTGGGGTTTAGGGTTTAGGGTTTAGGGTTTAGGGTTTAGGGTTGAGGGTTGAGGGTTGAGGGTTGAGGGTTGAGGGTTGAGGGTTGAGGGTTGAGGGTTGAGGGTTGAGGGTTGAGGGTTTAGGGTTTAGGGGTCAGGGTTCAGGGTTCAGGGTTCAGGGTTCAGGGTTTCGGGCTTAGCGTCGGACTTTACGGGTTTCGGGTTGGGATGTTCCCCCTTATGCAAACTTAGTACGGATTAGAATAGGGGGGGGGTACTGTAATCCCGATTAAGGACTGTGAGTTGAAGGGGGAAGATCCCAAGTTTAGGGTTTCGGGCTTGGGCTGATGGTTGGAACTCTGAAAACCCCACTATAGGGTTTAGGGGTTTAGGTTCAGGGCAAAGTTCAGGGTTTAGGGTTTAGGGTTCAGGGTTTAGGGTTTAGGGTTTCGGGTTCCGGGGTGTGTTAGGGTTTTGGGCCGTTGGGGTCCTTCGGATTTAGGCTAGCGGCTGACGGCGTCCGGGTTCAGGTCCTACTTGAGGCTGGGTCTTCGGTCTGAAGTATACAGCCCCAAACCCTAAACCCTAAACCCTAAACAAAGCCCAAAAGCCCTAAAGCCCTAAAGCCCTAAACCCCTAAACCCCTAAACCCCTATTCAGAGTTCAGGGAGGGGAGGAGGGTCAAGCTGGCGGCCTGCAGGGTCTCTAAGTTTAGGCCAGGAAATGGCGCCGCACATGACTGCGCCGTTTACATCCTCAACAAACCCGACTGAGGGTTTAGGGTTTAATCTTTAGGGTTTAGGGTTTAGGGTTTAGGCGGGGGGGGGGGGGGTTGGGGGGGGTTTAGGGGGGTTTAGAGCACTACCATAAAACCCAGACTCCAGACATGTGTAGGCTTTTTGGCAAACCCTAGCCCCTGAACCCTAGCCCCTAATCCCTAAACCCTTAACCCTAAACCCCAAACCCCAAAGTATACCCTAACCCCCAACAGCAAACGCTGATTCGCGACACAGGAAGACCCTAAGAGACCTCGAGCCCGTAAGCTCTAAAGCAAAGCTCCAAGACACTCCAAGACGGCTTGGCAGGTCGAGTTTAAGGGTTAAGGTTCAAAACACAAAAACCCTAAAACGTCCTGAAGAACCTGAAAAACACTGGAAAAGCAGTCCATCCAAAGCCCAGAAACATCCTTAAACACTCTCCCAGGTTTTACAACGTCCCTACAGAATTGTTTTTGAAACCCAAAAAAACTTTGACAACGAAAAAATGTCGTGGAACGAGTCCCTTACATCCAAGCCCTCAACGGCTACAAGCAAGCACGTGAAGCCCTAAGCCGAAACCCTAAGCCCCTAACCCTTTCTGGGTTGAACAATCGGGCTTACAAGGGTTCTAAGGCATAAGGGTTCCTAGGGCAAATAGGAAGTTGGACAAGAGAATAAACTAAGAGATGGTCAAGAGAAGGATACAAGTAGTGAAACTAGAAAGCCCCTAAACACATGCCTTTCCTAGAAAATGAAAATGCGAGGAAAGATGGTAGAAGCTACAATCATTAGTTGCTATGTACTAGGTTCTTGGATGACTGCTCAATCCTGAAAGGGAAGACAACGTCCATCTGAATGATCTACTCCCATGTTTCCCTTCAGTTTACCTTCGCAGTACCTTCACGTCTGAATTCGGCAAACTTGGTTTGCACAAGAAAGGTTCCTAGCTCTAGAGTCGGAGTCGGATTCACGAATTCGACAGAAGAACGCAAGCTGAATAGTACTTCTAGACAGAAGGATTGTACGGAAGAAAAGGTTTCGGGTTTAGGGTCAGGACCAGCAACCCTAAACCCTAAACCCTATACCTGGGACCCTATGTACCTACAGTCTTATGGGTCATACCTACTCATGCAGGGGCAGTTGCTACTAAACTGTAGGTAACAAAGAGTCCCTAACCCTAAGCCCCAAACCCTCAACCCTAAACTAAACCCTAAACCCTAACCCTAAACCCGAAAGCCTAAACCCTAAACCCTAAATCCTAAACCCTACTTACGCTCTTTTGAGCCTCGTCGAGCGCCGCGCCGCGCCCAGGCCGGACGGCTCGTGGTGCAACCGCAGTCCACCGGCCGCCGACCTGGTAGAGTCTTTAGGGTTTAGGGTTTAGGGTTCAGGGTATGGGTTTTGGCTTTTGGGTTTGGGGACCCCCCCTGAGATTCAACTCCCCTGTCACCTCGAAAAACTTGTCAAGACTCAAAACTTTGTGGCTTGCGTCGCAGATGGTTTGTGGCTTCTCAAATTCCATTGTGAGGGTGGGGGGGGGGCTGTTTCAAGGAGCGTCTTAGAGGAACCCTAAACCCTAAACCCTAAGCCCTAAGCCCTAAATCCTAAACCTTAAACCGTAAACCCTAAACCCCGAAACCCTAAACCCTAAACCCCGAAACCCCTAAACGCCTCGTTTTGGGAACCCTAGAAGCCCTTACAAGCCCCCAAACATCAACTCGCCAGTCGTCCTCCGGCCTCCCTCAAAGGGCCCCACCTACAAACACTGTCAATAGACAACCCCAAAACCTATAAACCTATAGACTCTAAACCCTAAGCCTATAACCCTAGACCCTAAACCTCTGAACCTCCAAACCCTTTATAAACCTGTAAACACTAAACCCGAAAAGTTCCCCTAAACCCTCAACCCCAAACCCCAAACCCCAAACCCTAAACCCTAAACCCTAAACCCTAAACCCCAAACCCTAAAAACCCTAAACCCCAAGCCCCAAAACTCTTCATGGCGATTTCGATCCCGGTGTCGAAGGCCGCGGACGCCAGCGCCATCAGCGCCAGCAGCCCAAAGCTTCGCACGCGACGCAACGCCATGGCGCCTTCTTCCACCCCAAGTGGCCTTTAAGAAGGGGGTTTAGGGTTTAGGTTGCAGGGTTTAGGGTTTAGGGTTTAGGGTTTAGGGCTGTTCTTCATGAATAGAGGACTTCGAAGGCGTCTTCTGGTGGGATTTGGGGTTGCAAGCTTCATGCGGGCTTGGCGAGCAAGCTTTTGAGGAGGCTTGAGCACCAGCGTTTGAAGCATGCAACCTCACAGACCAGGCAGAACAAGACACACATCCGAACTTGGGATGTTTCCCCTCATACTCACAGTCCTGATTAGGGATTGTAATAGGGGATCTCGCCGCAAGAGGTCAACAGTCTGCCTTTCCCGACTGCCAAGGCTCTTTGTGCTCTGTTTTGAAAGCTGTTGTGGTCTCGTCCGATCCTCCTTGCAGTGAAACGCTTTTGCCAGAAAGCAAGCTCACATCAATGGTAAAGGCCATGATTGTGAGATGTCGTGAGTCAGTCCTGGGTATTCTTGGGTTTTGGAGAACTTGGGGGCATCACTGAGATGGCTTGGGAGGGTTATGAGACATGATGCGGTTTGTGTGAGTTAGAAGAGGGAGGATGGCAGTGCTGTTGTAGCGTGCTTGAACCACACATAAGCAAGCCGGAGATAAACCTGATCCCTGAATTCTCCTCAACTTTGCAATCCTGAAGCATTAGACTCTGAACCCCTTTCATATCTTAATATCTTGAAACTCCGAGCAACGGAAGGCAAGGAGCCTGGCGTCCGAAGGGGAAGGGTCAAGGAGGATGTGGCGCGCGCACGCCGCCTCCATGAACTACGTGAATTGCGTTCAGGTGCATCACGATCAGCACATCTATCCTCTGAGAGCATTTGTAACGTGGTAGGGGTGTGAAGGCCGAAGCAAGCAAACAGCAAGCCACACAACCTTACACAAGTGGTCATAAGCGAAAGCTGCCGCAGCTCCAGGGCGCAACTGCCATTTATCTTGATGCAAGTCGGGAACTCGGAATCGACATGCAGCACGGAGAACACTGCAACAGAACAGATAAGCATACAGTGGCATACAGCAGCAGTTTTTATCAGAACACACTTCTGGCAACCCGGCTCGGGAAGTGACATCCCAATCATTGTCCGGCCTTTGGGGTGGGCGACGGTGGTTCTAATGGTTCATAAGTAAGGGTGGCATTGTTGCACCGCCCAAGATGAAGTCCACTTGCTTATCGCACTGCCCAAGACCCCTTCCATTTGCTTATTGCGCCACCCATAGCCCCTTCCATTTGCTTACAGGAAAGCCGCGAACCGCGCCCCCCAGCCCCTCCAGCCTGCCAGCCTCCAGGGCTGGTGGCTGGAGGGCTGGAGGCTGACGGGGCTAAAGGGTCGATGGAAGCTGGCTGGAGGGGCTGGAGGGCTGGAGGCTGGAGCTGAGGCTGGAAGGGGCTGGAGGCTTGGAGGGGCGGGCTGGAGGAGGGGGGGGGGGGGGTTGGCACGCATGAACCGGAACCGTTCCAGAGTATGTACCAGGAACGGAAACGAACCTACTGTTGCTTATTGCACCACGCCAGACAGCTTCCAATTGCTTATTGCGCCGCCTAAGATGACATACTTGGGAAACGTATTTCCAGCATGCCGGCGCGAGAACTGTAACGACGTAATTTGCTGATAGATTCACAAAGCCTTCCTCGATTTGCCCGTCTTCTGAGTGCTCCAGCGCGGCATAGGCATAGAGGCATCGCCAAGTCATCGGACGTGATTCGGCTTCGATCCGCGGCGGCGTGCTTGCTTTGACGCGGCAGTGCTGGTTGATGCAACCAGGTTGTCCGGGGGCCACATAGCGATTCCTCATGCCACTCTGCGCCACCAAAAGGTAGGTGCACTCCAGCTCCAGAAACAGGAAGTGGGCTCCCTCGCTAGGCGCATTGCTGCTTGCAACGTGCTTCCGTGTCCGAACACGCCGTATCGAGACAAGTGCCCGTTGTATGATGTTCCCATGGCAGTGTCGTGGAGGATGCCTCTGCTTCCAGGAAAGTAGTGTACTGGACCAACTAACGCAGCCAAGTCGGTGACGTGGAAGATTGTTGCCACTTCGCCTGAACGCCAGCCTTGGGGGCACTTGAAGTGCTGAGGGCAAGCAGCAAAGGGCGGCCCACATGGGTCTGAAAGCGCATGAAGACCTCCCCATTTGTGATTTCCTCACTGCAAGGGAATTGTTGCAGAACAGCAAAACGATCGGCCATGGTGGGCAAGAGGCAAAGCTAGAAAGAGCAAAAGCTGGAAAGAGCGAAAGCTGCAACGGCTGCAATGAAACTGTCATGAAAAACAGCACTCAAGCTACTTGGATCTCTACGCGATGACGTAAACAAAAAAGTGCTCCTGAGCTCTTTTTGCAACCAGACATGTTTTCGCGCTGTCAGAATCAGAAGGATAACAGACTGATTTCTGCAATGAATCACTTCATCCTGGTTCCATCGTAGCTTGTTTCTTGCCTCGTCTTGACCCTTGTCATGGTCGGCATGCCGGGCCACAAAGAGGGGTTGGCCCTGCACCATGTCGGAAGTTATGCAGCAACTCACACGCAACACATGGCAGCTCACAGCCAAGTCACAGGCGTTGGGAGGTGGAGGTGGCGCTTTCCACGCAGCAGGAGATGTTTACCCAAACCGTCTCTGGAGAAAGGGTACAGCAGAGAGGCCCAGGCCACGTGAACCTTTGTGCTGAAGTTGGAAGACTGTGCCATATCAGTCACGATGAGAGAAGCGTACCACTGTGATGAGTGGCTTGGCCATCATCGTCTTCCTGCGTGATGCATGCAGGTTTAAGCAGCATGACAAGTGCTACTATAATGCCGATTCAGGACTGTTGTATAAGGGAAACATCCCAACTGCACACCCTTTACGGGCATCCTATACACCCAAATCCCAAAACAACTACCTGCACCCCTCTCCCCCCCCCCCCGCCCCCAAGGAAAAAAACAAATAATGAAGAGCAACAACTGAAATCCCAAAGCCCGAAACCCTACACCCTAAATCCAAAAACCTAAGCCATACACACGCCCCACCTTGTGGCGGGTCCAGCCCACCCTTCACTAAAACCCTGAGGCCCCAAAAGCCCGAAACACCCTAAACACCCAAAAAAACTCAAACCCTAAAACCCCAAAACCCCGAAAGTCCGAAACCCTAAACCCTATAAACCCTAACCCTAAACCCCAAAATCAAACCCTTTGCCCCCAACCCGCCACACCGAGCCCTCCCAAAAAACCAAAGTCCTCAACTTTACACAACCCTAAACCCTATGTAAACCCTAGACCCTAAACCCTCAAACTGGAAATCAAACCCTTGGCCCCCACCCCCGCCCCACCGAACCCCCAACATCAAGATCGCTGCGGAGTTCCGGTGCGCGGGGGGGTCTGGGCTGCCAGCCGCCTCTCTCAAGGGTTCTTCGCGTTTACAAAAGGGTTTCGGGTTTAGGGACTAGGGTTTCGGGTTTAGAGATTCGGGATCAGGGTTTAGGGTTGAAACGCTAGGTTTAGGGTTCAAAGGTTTATAGTGCTTATTGTATAGGGCTTGTAGGGTGTGTACGGTTTATTGGGTTTATTGGGTTTACATGACAAGGCTTAGGGCAAACTTATGGTGGTTTGAGGGTTCACGGAACTTGGGTAGTTCGGGCTTCAGGGAGGTTTAGGGCGTATGGTTTAAGGGCTTCGGGGGTTAGGGCCGAGGGTTTAGGGCTGCATTAGTTGAGAATCTATCGGGGCTTGTGGCTTGGGCCTCAACCCTAAACCCTAAACCCTAAACCCTAAAACCCAAAACCCTAAACCCTAAGCCCTAAACCCTAAACCCTAAACCCTAAACCGAGGGCTTCTCATGCCTACAAAGCCCACACCAACAGAGCCTTTGCTCGTCGAGAATGCGTCTAATCCCTTCCCCCTTTTATTACATGCAACCCTCGTGATAAAAACACGTTCCGGAAAATCCTGCCGAAACCGACCCCGCCTTTTAAACCCAATTCCGAATTAGGGGGGTGGTTCAGGCCTCCAATAAACCCCTCAACACCAATAAAACCCTCAGAGGGTTTAGGGTTGGGGGTCTAGGTTAAGGGTTCAGGGGTTAGAGTCCTTATGACATTTCGATAAAAACACCCCCTAATTATAAAAACAGGTTTCGAATTTTTAAAGGGGTGGGGGGGGAGCCCCCCCGTTTAATATTAGGGGGAAGGCATTATTGTTTACTGGTCAGTTCGAGTTAGGGTTTAGGGTTTAGGGGGGTCTAGGGTTTAGGGTTTTGGGTTTTAGGGTTTAGGGTTTAGGGTTTAGGGTTTAGGGCGCAAAGAAACAGAGTGGCCAGCCACTCTGCCTCCCAGAGTAGTTAAGACTTCCTGCAGCCATCCCAGCAAAGTGCCCGCAACGTAATTCCGGGAGAAGTGAGAGAAGAGAGGGAAGAGAGGGAAGAGAGGGAAGGAAGGGAGCGAAGGGAGCGAAGAGAGAGAGAAGAGAGAAGAGGGAAGAGAGAAGAGAGAAGAGAGAAAGAAAAGGGTGCGAAAAGCACGAAACCCTCGAACAAAAAAAAAAAACACGGGTTTTTTTTTACGGATTTTCAAGGCCTCCAAACACCCGGGGCTCCCTAAACCCTCACGGGCGCGCGTCATCGACCTTGAGACCGAAGCTTTTTCGACCTTCAGCTGCAAGATTTTTTACCAGCGCAAGAGCTCTCCGAGATCTCAGAGCCCCTAAACCTTAAGGGTTAGGGTTTGGGGTTTAGGGTTCGGGGTTTAGGTTTGGGGCTTAGGGTTTAGGGTTCCTAAACCCCATATATAAACCCTATCTCCTATCTCCTCCCCCCCACCAGCCCCAAAAACTCAAAATCAGTCTTTCAGTCCTTCACCCTCAACCCCCACCCCCCTTCCCACCCCACAAAATAGAAACAAACCCTCAATCCTAAACCCTGAACAAAAACGCCCTTAAACCCACAACCCTTAATTCAAACCCCGCAAAAAAAAAAAAAAAAAAAAAAAAAAAACCCAAAACCCAG